TGTTAACATGGAAATATTTGCTATTTAGACAAACACAGAAAAAAAAAAAAAAGTAGTTACTGGGAAACTCATTTTCAAATGATCCCCCTTCTGATCCCTAGAAGAAAACTACAGAAGTTTTTTCTCAAGAACACACTTGTTAATACCTCCTGGTCAGACCTGCTCTGGAATCCAGAATAACCCATTATGGGGAATGCACACAAAAAGTATAAAGCCATCTTTATCTTTCCCTTTTCAAATACCACAAGAAGTAACAGCTACAGTAGAGGACACCCATTTCTTGATCTCTGATGTACACTACTGTCTAGCCTGTTTTGTGCTGTTAAGATTTTGCTAATAGCTAGTTCTAGAGCTGGAAACAAAATGTAATTCTAATGCAAGAAAAAATGGTGGTGGTATGGAATGTAGCTTTTTCTACAGGCTAATGCTAGTAAACCCCATGGCCAAAGAGCAAGCAAGCTGCAGGGCAACAATATATAATCACATCTCAGCAGGAAGATCTCTGTTTTTGGGGTTTTTGTTTTTGTTTGTGTTTTTTTTTTTTTTTGTGCAAGCAGAAGGAAGCAGCATAGAGCAGCAAATGTGGTTCCAGCAGAACATTAGGTGCTTTGTAAAGGAGTCATTCAAAATGTCACTGACAATCAGCACTCTTTCTGTTACTTCTATAGTTAGCAGTTCAGAGACATGTTCTTTCAGAGCTGTTATGCCTCATGTGATAGCTAGTATGGTAAGTACAATTGTTCCTTTTTTTCAGCAAGCACCACAGTAGTATTCCCTGATCAGATTGAGCCATCAGGCGACAAAGTGCTGTAGACATCCCACCAAAAATGCTCAGAGGTATGGCACAATAAGTTGGTTCTCAGCTCCTTCCCCTGCAACCACAAATGTGACCTGAGATATGCCTGCTGTTGTGTACCTTCTACAGAGATGGGATCAAGATTCATACCCTTGTTACTGCACACGGCACTCAGGTCAGACCCCATGGACCAATTTCCTGTATAGACAGGAAGGCATTCCCACTGTGTCATGGAGGTTATGGGTCTACTGCCAGCCAGAAACTGGCAGTAGATCTCTTCTTAAAATGAAATAAATTTGTGAGGAAATCATGTTTGTGTTTAAGAAACCTGGGCAGCAAGATATTGACCACAGATAGCTTTGTTTCCATTAAACATTTCTCAGGTAGCTACTCAGGCAATACAGCTTTTAGGCTTCTATGTATATTATTTTTCACCCTTATTTCCTCAGTAGGAAGGACAGGTTGTGAAGATTGTATTTTGTAGAAAATAAAATGTAATTAAACAAAGCAACAGAAGTCACTGCAGAGTTTGCTGCACGACATACAATCCAGCAGCTTCTAGTTCCTGGAAGGATATGAGGCGTATGCTGTATTTTTTCCACCTGAGCACTAAGAAGCATAGGAAGATCCCCCACCCCAATTTCTCCAGAATCTTGCAAAGATCAGACTGCTGTTGCTCATTACAGACATGTCACTCATGCAAAGGCCTTTATAAAACAAAGACTTTTTCTGTTTTTGTAAGTTAACTGAAGAACATCAAAATTACTGCCAACATGAGATAACTAGTTAAAAGATGCTTACACACCCTTTGGTAAGTATGAATGTAATAAAACGCAAATCCTTCAAAACCTGTTAGGTGCTGCCTACAGGGTGCTAGGCTTGTGGCTTGTGCTAATCACTAAATGCAGCCAGGTATGTTTGGGCTGTTTGTGACTCCAGCTTGAGATATTAGTAAGAGCACAATTTAAGGCTTTGTTGCTAGTTGTTTCAGAAGAAACAATCACATAGTTCAGGATTAAAAATTAGCATTTATGCTTGAAAGGATATTTCAAATTTTTAGGCTAATAGCAGGTGAATGTGTTTACCTTTAGAAGCTTATGAATGGGAGTTCAAATACTGAGAACTGTAGCATAGCTTTTGTTTGTTTCCATGATGTTTTGAATGTGCACTGAATGTTTAAATTTTTCTGTCAATTTCACTTCCCAAACGTCCTGATACTGTTTATCAACATAGCAGGGACTTTTCCTACTATTTTGCCAACATGAATCTGGCTGTATGACAAATACATAAGTCTTTAAAGTAGTAGATGTCTCTGCTGCTTACCCATGAACATGATGATACCATCTTGTTATGATCATAAAGTTCCACATACAAAACATTCTACAGTTTTTATTTACAATTCATCACTGCTAGCCTGCATTAATCCCACTGCATATAGTTTTTTGCTTATTTACTGTATATACCATTTATGAATTGCAGTGGCCTGCAAATTACATCTCTAGCCATTTACTCTGGATAGTGCTAGCTTACACTAATTTAACAACTCTCAGTTTTTGCTGCTGTCAAAAACAATTGTCTGTCTGTCTATTGCTCAGAGGTGTGGAATCAAATAACAAGCAAGGTAGCAGAGTAAATCACTCCAGGTGGAGGGTTTCCAGCAGTGCTGTGCCTGGCAGTGCCTACATGTGTCCTAGTGACAAGTGGAGCAAGAATGAAGGTGCATAGCGGGTCCATGGAGTGCTGCATAGGATGACCACTGTCACACCCGGTGGCATCTGGGATCAACGTCATGCTGATGTGCTGGTGTCCACTAGAAGTATGTGGGGGTTTGGTTTGTTTTTCTTTGATGGCTGATTTTTCTGGAACTACAGCAACTGAAGCTGGAAGCAGTAACTATTGTGAGAGCAGTGCTCTGCCTGTAAACAAAGGCTCTGTTGTGTTGACATGCAGCACAGTGCCCGCAGCTCAGGATGTTTTCAGCCTATTTACTTTTATTCATGTTTGAGAAAATCTGGCATGACTGCTAGAGAATAGTAGCATATATTAAGGCCTGTTTTGATCAAATGGATCGTTGATACAAAAACGTACTTTGATTTCTTCCTGCTGGCAGTTTGCATGGCAAAAGCAATTAACTACAACTCTGAACTGCCGGTATGACCTTAAACAAAATTAATCATCTCAGATTCCGTCCTGGCAAATCACTCAACAGAGTATACATGAGAGAGGAAAGTCAGAAAACCTGTTGCAAGATCTAGATACCCAAAGTAGCACAGCTCCAGCCAGAGTACAAATGACAGTGACTTTTGGGTTGTTGTCTTGGAGTACTGAAAGATGCTGCAAGATTTCTGCCTCTTCTCTCTGCAGGAGGGAAGCCTGGTTCCGTCACTTTGAAGAGATTTCATTCATGCCCTGGAAAATGGAGAAGTTGGGTCATGTCATTTGGACTTCTCTCCCCCTCCTCTCCTCTCCAGTAACTATGAGAAATTAATTAGTCCATGCATACTGAAATGTTTGAGATCCACAAGCCAAAAAAAAAAAAAAAAAAAAGCTCAAAAAGTACATAGTCTTGTCATAAAGAGCTGTACTTTCATTTATTGTATATGCTATGTGACAGGAATGGTACACAGAATGTAATGCCTCCACTACGGAGGCTTTTGGAAGTGTGAAATAACAAAAGAAAAACTCAGTATGGCAGTCAGCTGTAGTTTTGCCTTTGTTGATGTTTGTTTACTCCTTTTAAAGATATATGTGCCAATGACTTCCACTAAGTTTTCTCGTGCTGGACATTCGTGCTGGGTATCAGGTCACTCATCTAGTGTTCTGAAATACTGTCCTGCAGTCAGAGATTACAAAGATAGAGCCTGTGTGATCCTAAGTAAATGTTTTTGAACAACGAAAGCTGCTTCCTATTGTCTTACCTTCTAACCACAAGTACACAACATATAAGAAGACCGACCTAAAAGTTGTATCTGGCACGCTCTTAAACCATTACTGCACACATTTAAAATATTGTTAAAATTTTCCTCTTTAAATAAAGTACAAAATAAATTGTATTCTTCTCTACAGCAATTACTCTGTAGCTAATGAAGATCACTTATCTCTGTTTATCTCTGCAGGTTGTTAGGGAAGTTTATTTTACTCTTCCTCTTCTTTTTCTGCTGTTTTAAATATTCTTCCAGGAAAGCAAGACCAGACAGAAAAGGTATGTTCTTGAGGCTGACAGGCCTTGGCCAGTAGACCTCCTCTGAAAATTTTAATGACAATTCTTTCTCCAGCTCTTGCACTTCCAATGGGTTGTGCTGCTAAGAGGGGGACAGCTTTCTGAGTCAAGCAGAGGCCAGGGACCAGGTGAGAACCACCAGCATGCTCCCACAGTGACACTGAGGGTAATTGCTACAGCAGATGTTGACAGGCAGCCATCAGAAAAGCAGGAAAACACTGGTTGTGCAAACAGTGTTTTGAGGGTAGAAACCAAGCAGTTGCAGCCTATGTTTCATGTTTGGAATGAGATATAGTAAATGATACTCAACTGATCTGCAAATAATAAGAGCAAAATTATTGTTAAGATAGAGTTTGCAGAATCCTTTTATCCTTTTTTTTTTTTTTTTTAAGAGAGCCATTATGTAGCCTAAAAATGACTTGTTCAGCAGGACAGTACCATGACCCAGGGCAGTTAGACTGAATGCAATACAAGCATCCTAGCTGGTTTTCTCAAAGCGTTTCTTTCCCTGTTTTCTTGTATTATTTTAGCCTTGGCGCGACAGGGTTTCAGGACGTTTGTCCAGGAACCCGGACAGAGGATAGGCTGTTAGCTGCAATACGGGTGAAACAAAATACGTGTTGCAGTTACTGAAACACGGATGGCAAAGGGCCGCAAGTGGAAGCCGACGTCTGCCTGAGGCTCTGTCAACGGCCAGTTTGCACCTGAGATGGATTTGATTTGCATTCAACACACGCTCAGGCACACGTATCTCCAAACTAAAGCACGACTGCTGCTGCTGAAGTATCTATAGCCGGTCGCACTCCGGCCTGTCCCACACCGGATATTTACAACGGCCGCTCCATACTAACAGGCGGCCGGTGCGGCGGGAGGGGACCTGGCCGGGGCCTGCAGCGTTCGGCACCCTCTAGTGGGGCAGCGGCAGCCCATTGTCTCCCGCTGGGGTGGGGCTTTCCGCTGCCGCCTCTGCCGGGCCGGGTCCCGCGCAGCTGCCGCGGCGGCTCCGCGGGAAGGGCGGGCGGTACCGCAACTCTGCGCCCCGCAGGCGGCGGCGATCAGGCGAGTGCAGTGGAGGCGGACGTGGACCCAGCAGCGCCCGGAGCTCGCTGTCTCCTTGCCGACGGGGGAGGGGTTGGAGCCACCCCCGTCCCCGGGGGCTGCCGCCGGGCCAGCGAGGCGGTACGAGGCGGCTGAGGGCAGCCGCCGCAGCCTGGCCAGAGCGGGCTGGTCCAGACTCCGCCCCACATTCGCCTGCCCTGCCGCCGGCGTCCTCCTAGCCTGGGCACCTGGAGCGCCGCAGCCGGGTAAGTAGCCTCGTCCGGAGGGGCTCTTCCTTTGCCGCGGCCCCGCGGAGGGGCGGCCCCAGGCGCAGCGCAGGCCCCGCGGCCTGGCCGCGCTTTGTTCCCCGGGCAGCGGCGTTCGAGCCGCTGAGCGCCCCGCTCCTTCGGGCGGCGGCGGCTGGCTCCCGGCCCTCCCAGGGGGCGGCGGTGGCCCGGCCTTGCGGCAGGGCAGCCCTCTCGTGCACGGCCTTCGTGGCCGGCGCCGCATCCCAGCGGCGGGCGGGAGGGTAACGCGGTACCTGGCGGCTGTCTGCGGACTCCCGCTCCCCCTCCGCCTTCCCCTGTTTCTCTGACCCTTTGTAGGTCCCTCCGGGTGTTCCCGGGCCAGCGGCACAGCAAGTCGGTACAGCCCCGGGGAACCCGTGCAGCATGTTTGGGTGGTGGTCGTGCTGCCGCGACATACGTGGCCGCAGTGGCGGGGGGCGGGGGGGCTCCCGAGTGGCTGCCGCCGCCGGGGCTTCCCTTTGTGCGGGCGCGGGAGGGCGGCGGCCCCCTCCCGCCGGGCCCCATCGCGGGTGTCACGGCAGGCTTGGGGAGGAAGGAGAGTGCTTCGGGGGAGGGAGAGCTCCCTCGAGGGAGCCGGGCGCGGGAGCCGCTTCCTCGGCCCGCTCGGTTTCTGTCGGGGATTTCCCCGGTGTGTCGCCGGTGGTCAGTGGGGTGGCAGGCCGGTGGGAAAGAGTCATGGCCGTGACACTACCTCGGCGCCGGGCGCTCTGGGTTTCTGGAAGCGCTGCCTGGTCGGGAAGCTGATTCACTGCTGCAGCAGTGGTTGCTCAGAGCAGTGGTTGCCATTTCTTTGAGTTTTTGACAGGTCCATTGTCGACCAATTTTGCCTTTCCATAGCTGTAGTATCCCTTGCTGGCCCTTAACAGAGCTGTTTTAGCCAGGCAATTGTGGGAGGGAGATGTAACGCACCCTCTTTGTCAAAGAATTTGAACGAGCGTATGGAAGCAAGAGTGGAATCAATAGAGGTGAATGTGGTGGTGGGTTTTTTTTTTGTTGGTTGTTTTAGCTTTAGGAATTTTTTTAATGGGCAAAATTGGTAAGGCCTATATAGATGGCTATTAGTAGATGCTTTTGTCAGTTCTTTCGTCTTTTTTTCGTCCCAAGGGAAATACCGGTCCTCTGCATTTTTAGTATTGCAGTGTCTGTGTTGTCCAAATGATTGGATGTTGACTTTGTTCACACATTAAAATTCCCTGTAATGAGGAAGTTATTGTGGGTCTTGTCGTCTCCCCCTCCCCTCCCCCGGTGACATTGTTTGGTAGGATTCAGTGTGTAGTAAATAATAAATACTGTTACTGCATTGTAGGAACAATGATGGCAATGAAGTTTGCGCTGATAAGGGTTCTTTTTTTTTCTGAATGCAGGGGTTTTATAGCCCTAGTCCCATTGGCTGTACCAGAAACTTGAGGAAAGGGGTAAGGTGGATGACAGAATAGAGCTGAAGCTTGGTCAGAGGCATAGGGCTTGCTGGTCATGTGTGGATCGTGCTTTGCTCCTTCAGGGAAAAACAAAACACACACCCCCCCCCCCCCAAAAAAAAAAAAAACAAACCAAACACGTAGGAGCAAGTAAAATTTTTTTTTTTTACAGCTGGATTTCAGGATATTGCACAATTCTCTACATCATAGATTGCTGCTTGAACAGTTATGTGAAATGACATCCGTTAACTATTTTTCTTAAATTAGAATGCTAATGGGTGATGTTTTATTTGCAGTTTAGATGATCTGTAATATCAGTTTCCCTAGAAGCAAAAGTTAAGAGAAGAAACCCCATGTGTCTTTACATTTCTTACAAGAATCAGTCCCATGATATCTCTTGGAATTGTAGGCTATAATTCTAAGTTTGCTGTGGAATCATATTTCTCAGTAAAGCTTATGTAAACATGGGAAATGTACATAGCTCTGTTATTTTCCAGCAGCAGAATAAAGGAGTCAGGTGAAGATCAGCTCAGTTTCATTTGGCTGCTCCATCTGGGCGGTAGTAGGGAGGAGTACTTCTGGAAGAGACTAGGTATGTTTGTTGATGGTGAACTTCAGTACAGTGCTGCATAACTGTCGAGTCCTTAGGAATAGAGTAGTAGGAGGAGCACCTTTATTCCTAAGTGACTGTGGGTGGTTGGAGAAATACAGAACACCTTCAGTAGGTAGCTTCTGATAAAATAAGCAAAGCCTACCTTAGGGTTTTGTAAGGGTAAGACGTGATGTTGCAGGATTTTCCTCTGTATCTCTGTTCAAGCTTTCTTGAGTGCTTGCTATTAATATTCTTATTTCTGATCTATAGGTGTGTACTCCTGCCTTCTCTCCATCTTTCTGAGGCTTCTAGTTTATTTGCCTGGCTAGAAAACTTTAGTAATACAAGGTTTTTGTTTTCATTTTTTAATTTAAAGCTTGTGAGAGAGATTACTATGACTGCTGCATCTGAGTAACTATAAAACCTATGACATGTTTAGCATCTTGGCTTTGCCTGTAACACAGTATATACTAATTTTTGGTTTGGATTTTGGTTTGGAGGTTTTGGATTTTGTTGGTGAGTGGAATTTGATCAGGTACAAGGTTTTGTTCAAGTCTTAAAGCGTTTGCTGAGTTTTTATTTTTGATGCTTATGTCAGTTCTGCATCTTCTGATACAAATAGGGACTATTTAAATCTTTTCAATTCACAGTATAATTTTCCTTCTTTACTTCTATAGCAGTGATTAGCATGTAGGAATACTTTCTTCCACCTCTTCACAAAAAACACTGACACTGTTCCAGTTTTGATTTTTGCCTAAAAATCTGTGGAGATTACCTCTGACTGAAAGCATACTACAAGGATTCTGGTTTTTGTTACTTTCCTGCTGCTTCCGGTGCTGCCTCAGGAGCATTGCCTGCTAATTATAAACAATGTTGATGTCTACCATATGTTTTGGTAGAAGATACGGGATTCCTGCTGTCTCAACTTGAATGCTTAGCTTACGAGTATTTGTGAATATATAATGGAAAGGTTGACTCCCCTGTAATGCAGCTTTGTAATAAACCCTTGTTTTCAACTTCCAAGGAAATAAAGTTTTAGATTGGGTATTATCTAAAAATATGGCCAAATACTGTTTTCATTTAAATTTGCAGAACCTGGGAACCAGAGCTCAGACTTATATCCCTAACTGTTGCATTCCAGTACCAATGGTAAGTAAGATCAATCTCTATCGAACGTAAGATCTTTACAAATTTCATGCAGTGTATTTGGTTCTTCTGAAGCTTTGACGCTGATAAATACACTGCATAGACCAATACCTGTTCAAATGGTTTTGCACAAACCTATTTAGGCTGTAACTCATACCTTTTTTTAATTTACCTACTTTACTCTGGTTTTTGTCTTGTGGCTTAAAAAAAAATAATTGAAAGGGGCTATAATGGAACCAAGGCTTCTGATACTAAAGTTATGTTACATAGTGTAGCTTAGATATTATGAAATAGAGCAGCTTGTCTTTGTGTCTCACACAGAGTAGTGTTTGCAAATGTATTAGAGGGTGTTTTAAGCATAAGACTGGAGATAAGTGAATTCTGGTTTAAAGAGGGAGCTGTGGTTGCGAATGAGAGTAAGGAAGGAAGTTTTAAAAGCACTGAGATAGATTATTGCTGCTCTGATGGGGTTGATAAGCTTGTGCACAGGAGGGAAATGAGACACTTGAATACCTTGAGTGAGCAATAGAAAAATGCACTGGCAGGCTTTTTTACTTTTTAGACTACATGAGTGAGGGATTTTTGAAGTGAGGATTTCCTTACAGCAGGCTCTAGATTTTATAAGGAAGCAATTGGAAAAATCAATATGGAGTGTTGTTTTCCTGTTTCTAGGTGAGAAGATGAACTGCTGCATTTTGGACAAGCTGAAGTTTGGAACGCTGGGACATAAAGAACCCATTAAGAAGGAAATTACAGTAGTTAAGAGGAGATGAAGGTATGATTTAGGGCTTTGCAGAATCAGTGGTTCAAGAGAGTTAGATGTAGTAGGCACATGAGAATTCAGAGCCAAGCTAAACTGTGGTATTAGTGGAGTTGAATTTAAGATATGTTCTTAGATATCATGAGGGATGAATGTTGACTACACCAAATAAGGCCAAATAAAAGGTGCTATTTGAAGAATAAGATGAATAGGGTTGATGTTAACTCCATGTTTTGGTCACTAAATGATATGTATGGCTGAACTTGAGCGAAAGGGTCAGGGTGAGCACATGATATGTGGATGGAAGGTGCTGTAGCTTATCTGCATTTCAGTGTGGGTAAAAACAATGGTTTCTTTCTAATCAGTGTACCCTGAATGCAGGTTGTCTGTTTTCTCTCTGCTAGAGTAGTGTTTGCTAATTCTTTCATGTTGCATTCTAATTTGGTCTTAGAAAATAGTAGCAGTGGAAAATGTACAAGTGTTAGAGCTGTGCAAGGTGTTCTGAAGCATGTGACCATTTATGATAGTGGAAAGATACATATTTTATTTCAAGGGGGTGGGAGAGACGCTGTGGTTACTGCAGGTGCTTGCTGTGGCCAGTTTAATTTGTGGTTTGCAGCTGAAATGTTCAGAATTTTCAGTGTGAGTACAAAACCTGAAGACATTGTGCAAATTAAGGAAATATTTATTTCTCTTGCACACAGTAATTAAAGGGTAGCATAGAAAGTGTTTTTATATAGTAATGAATGCATTTCTGAAATATTTTGAAATGTAAAAATGTGAGTGAACAAGCTATCCATGTCCTAGATCTGGTATACTTCAATCTCTTCTACTTCCATGTTTGGTTAAGATTATCAAAGTTCTCAAATTACTTATTTATTCCTTATGAAGAAATTTCTATTACTGTCCTCATTGTGTCTACTTTGTGTGTTGTGTGGGGCATGAGGGGGTAGACACAACTATATTTTTTTTCTATTTTTTTAAAATATCAAGGAAATTGTTTGGCATGTTTCAAGGTCCACATAAAACTTTATTTTTGAGCTGAGAACTTTAGTCAGGTATCAAACCTGAGGTCTGAGATTTGTAAACAGTCTCTTTCTCAGCCTCTCATTAGTTTTCTTCTTGTTTTTCGGCCAGTTTTCCCTAGCTAAAAAGGGTGACTTCTTTTGTGTTTGCTATACTTAATGTCTACACACCCCACTCCACTTTTCATCTCAAACAGTCCCTTGCCCTTTCATACTCCCTGCCACTCGAGATGGCTTTTGGTTTAGAAGAGCATTTCTTTTTGCTTCCGTTTAGTTGTAGTGTCACTATACTGAGCTAAGAAGTGATTCCTGAGGGGCTGAGCCACATGCACTTTTAACCAATGCCAAGTATGTGTATTGTTATGAAGTTGTAGATTGTTTTCTTATATAAATGTTATGAAAGGAACAAGAAGTTCTAAGCTTGCACCCCAGAGGACAGTTATTTTTCATTTGCTCCACGTTGCCAATAGTTGCACTCATCAGTGCAGCTGTTTGTTTATGGCCTGAATTGTCCACTCTCATTCCTCCCATTGTCTTGGTTTTATGAAGTACTGAAGGCCTAAGAGCTGTCTGTGATTTTCCATCACAAACTGGTTTTGGACAGTACCTGAAGAACCACTGATAAGGTACTTGTTTCCCCTAGGTCATTCTTGCAAGCTTTTATGACATGTTTGTTTGGTGTTTGTTTTTTTTAGTAGAAAGAGGTAGCGTATGTAATTTTATTTTACTATTCATTGTTTATTTTTCTACTCCCTCACTCCCTGTGATGCAGAAACTATCTGGGAGAATTTATGATCTATGTGATTTCTGTCTTATTTCCACATAGATCATAAATTCTGAATAAAATTTTAAAAACTCCACCTTTTTTTTTTTTGATGGGTGTTGGGAAAGTACAGTGAAGAAAACTTCTCTGCTGTGGTTTGAACATAATATTTCAGTTGACCTACTGCTATGTGGAAAGTGGTGGAAGAAGCACCTTCCCAAACTGTATTATTTTATGTATTCTGTGGACATTTGGTCTGAAATGAGTTTGGGCTGCAACAGATGACTGCAACTTCTGCTGTTTTGACTGCCTGTTGCAAGGAGGGTATAAGGTAGATCAGAGTCTTTTGCTGCCTGTGGTAGCATCCTACAAGGGAAAGCTAGAGGATTCTACAGGGATATAAGCATGAGGTCTCCCTCTGTAAATGTGGCAGAAAAGGAAATGTAGGCATGCATCCAAAACCTGTGACTTACTTTCTTTACTATTCTAGGTTAAAGAAGCCTGAAAACTGCTGTAACTTAACATATAGCATAAGTGTTTAGCTTGGCCTGAGGCTGGAAAGGGTAGAAAACTTTAGCAAGGTATCATTTTTGTATGTCATGTTATAGCATCATTACAGACCTCTGCCTGTGTTCCTTAAGGTTGGAGCTAGACTGGTGCTTGTGGACATGGCCTTTGAAATCCAAAGATGTGTTGTTCTTTGAGAGAGTGCTGATTGCTGCACGGTATCCTGTGTGTGCCCTTGTATGAAAAGACTGAGGTATCAGTATTGTGTTTCACAGCTGTACATGCAGATGCTGTTTTGCATCCACAGTTACATTCTTTCTGTGCCTGGTGCTCTTCCTTCTGACACTTGCTCTGAGAAAAAGGTCTACCATTCTGTGAAATGGATTTGGAGAAGGCTGAGGTTCTTGATGACTTCTTTGCCTCAGTCTTCACTGGCACATGCTCTGACCACACCACTCAGGTCTTGGAAGGGAGACGCAGGGACTGTGAGAATGAAGACCCTAGGCCCACTGTAGGAGAGGATCTGGTTCGAGACCATCTTAAGAACCTGAACATGCACAAGTCCATGGGACCTGATGAAATCCATCCACGGGTCCTGAAGGAGCTGGCAAATAAAGTTGCTAAGCTACTGGCCATCATATTTGAAAAATTGTGGCAGTCAGGTGAAGTTCCTGACAACTGGAAAAAGGGAAATATAACCCCCATTTTCAAGAAGGGGAAATGGATGATCCAGGGAATTACAGACCAGTCAGTCTCACCTCTGTGCCTGGCAAAATCTTGGAGCACATTCTCCTGGATGGCATGCTAAGGCACGTGAAAATCAACAAGGTGCTCGGTGACAGCCAGCATGGCTTCACTAAGGGGAAATCCTGCCTGACCAATTTGGTGGCCTTTTATGATGGGGCTAAGGAGCTGATGGACAGGGGTAGAGCAGTTGATGTCATCTACCTGGATTGTGTAAAGCGTTCGACACTGTCCCACACGAGACATCAATTTGATGGATGGACCATCGGTGGATAAAGAACTGGCTGAATGGCTGCACACAGAGTTGTGGTCAATGGCTCAATGTCTGGGTGGAGACCAGTAATGAGTGGTGTCCCTCAGGAATCAGTGTTGGGACCGGTCTTGTTTAACATCTTCGTCGCTGACACGGACAGTGGGACTGAGTGCACCCTCAGCAAGTTTGCCAATGACACCAAGCTGTGTGGTTCGGTTGATACGCTGGAGGGAAGGAATGTCATCCAGAGGGACCTTGACACACTTGTGAGGTGGGCTGATGCCAACCTCATGAAGTTTAATTATGCCAAGTGCAGGATCCTACACCTGGGTCAGAGCAATCCCAGGCACAGCTACAGGTTGGGCAGAGAAGAGATTCAGAGCAGCCCTGCAGAGAAGGACTTGGGGGGGCTGGTCGATGAGAAAGTGAACATGAGCAGGCAGTGTGCGCTTGCAGCCCAGAAAGCCAACCGTATCCTGGGCTGCATCAAAAGGAGTGTGACCCGCATGTTGAAGGAGGTGATCCTGTCCCTCTACTCTGCTCTAGTGAGACCTCACTTGGAGTACTGTGTGCAGTTCTGGTGTCTTCAACATAAAAAGGACACGGAACGGATGGAACAAGTCCAGAGGAGGGCCATGAGGATGATCAGGGGACTGGAGCACTTCCTGTATGAAGACAGGCTGAGAAAGTTGAGGCTGTTCAGCCTGGAGAAAAGAAGGTTGCGTGGAGACCTCATAACAGCCTTCCAGTATCTGAAGGGGGCCTATAGGGATGCTGGGGAGGGACTCTTCATTAGAGACTGTAGTGATAGGACAAGAGGTAATGGGTTAAAACTTAAAAAAGGGAAGTTTGGATTGGATCTAAGGAGGAAATTCTTTCCCGTTAGGGTGATGAGGCACTGGAATGGGTTGCCCGAGGAAGTTGTGAATGCTCCATTCCCTGGCAGCATTCAAGGCCACGTTGGACAGAGCCTTGGGTGACATGGTTTAGTGTGATGTGTCCCTGCCCATGGCAGGAGGTTTGAAACTTGATGATCTTATGGTCCTTTCCAACCCTAACTATTCTATGATTCTGTGATTCTAAATGAATAGGTAACTGACATTGAAGTTAAAACTTAGGAGTTTTTAACTGGATGTCATGAGCTTTCACTCATTTGTTCTGCATTTGCTGGTTCACTTTTCATTATATTACTTGTTACTTCTTTTTGCCACTCATCCCTTATTTATTTCTTACAGAATTGTTGAGGGGGGTGAAAAGAGTGGGAAATTAATATATGGAAGATGGATTAAATTGAGGAACCAGTTAACAGACCCCTCTTCTAAATTTTATTATTAGCTATATTTACCAAGTAAAGTGTACAAAGTAAGGATTGAAGTTCCAGGTGAAAATGGGGCAGAAGAAATTTAGTTTTTCCAAGCTTAAATTTCTTGTGGCTGTGACAATGTGCTTTTGGATCCTGGCCTAGCAAACTGTTAACCCTAGGTTTAACCAAAAGTAGAGCACATTTTCAATCTGTCCATTCGTCTGCTGTCACAAGTTGCCAAGGTGAAATACTGACTGTATGTGTAATGGAACTGACATGATACAGTTACATTTTGCTTTTAATAAGCTTGCATACTGATGAAATCTGAGTCTGTGGTTTTTATTTTCCTAATTCTTTAGTGTGAATTAATAGGTTATAGAAGGTCAGAAATATTTTCGTTGTGTACCACTTGAAAATCAGCCATAATATAAAACTTCAGTATACTCTTTTTTATGAATATTTTTAACAGACAGTCAAAAACAGAATAAAAGAAAATAAAAATAATTAAATAATTGAAAAGACAAAGTACTTGATTGGATCTTCCCAGTGTATGTGGAGTAACTTTTCTCCTGAGATCTTAAAGGGCTCTAATGTTAAATTTATTAGTGCTGCTCATAATGTGTTAAAAAGTAAAAACCAAACACTCCATTTGACTACTTAAACTGATGTTCATCCGTCAGGTTTTAGTGTTATTTTAAAGATGTCCAGCTCAGTAACCCAGTTCCATTTGCGCTTTAATTGAAGACAGCGTTAACTAATGAACACATACAACCTATTTCTACTTTTGGGACAGGTTTGATGGGCTTCTCAAATTACTCTGGGATATCAGCCCTGGAGACGCCTTATTTCTGTTCTGTATGTCATCTGCCATTTAGCAGTGGGAGGGATGACATCCTTTAATGTATCTTTAAAGGAAGGTGAAATACTAATCTACATAGGTAAAGATGATATTCAGCTTTCAGTGTCTTTCACACATGGATTTTTATTTCTGTGTGGAATAGATGAACTTCTTTTTAAGCTGATCCAGGGAAGGCATGGGGTAATGCTTTGTGGGCTGAAGTTAGCATCTGAAAATCCCTTGCATGCTGGCTTCAGGGAATGAAGCTGCTAATTTTGAAGGTATGCAATTCAGAAGTTGATTTTAAAAGAAAAAGAGAATTTCATTCTATATGATTGAGGCTTTTTTCTTCAGAACTTCAGAATATCTGTTACTTACGCTATTGTTTGTGCCGTACTTGCAAGCTGCTACAGTTTTGAATGTAGCTGCCCATCTGCTGCTTGGTTATTTATGGGCAGATCTGTGGAGTTCCTTCTAATCTCTCAAGTGTTCAAAAACATTAATGAATTAAACATCACAACTCTTGTAAAAAGGGAATTCGATGGAGGGACTGAATGAAGACTAAAAGGGATAAATGACTTGCTGAAAGCCGTATGTATATTTCATCACAGAACAAGGAATACAAACATGATTCTCCTTCCCAGCTTCCCTTCCCTCTAACTTTTAGTCCTGTGCCTAACAGACCAGCTATGCTTTTTTGCTTCATACATGATGAGGGAATGAAAAAAGTACTCATTCTTTGAAACTTGCAGTAGATGCTTGAGAACAGACTAATCCATTTAAAGACCTTGTACCATGTACTGAGAGTATTGAATGCTTCAGGTCTAACAAATTTGAGTAAAAGTGTTTGTTCTCACTGAGCCTGAATTTGTTTTGGTTGTTAATGTTTTGACCAGTGGTTCCCACTGGGTTGCTTGGAAAGAAAACAGTTGGGAGGGCAGCTTTTCTCTTCCAGTGGTCTAGTCAGTGCTAGTCCGTCAACTTCTCTCTCTGCTCGCTGTCTTTAATGGACTTCTAAAATGGCTTTAAATAGCATCTGGACATTGGTTCTTATCTATTTTTTCTATTAAATGATGTGTAGCAGAAAATACAGGTGATATGTTTCATTAATCACAAGTTATGCACTTCTCTGCTGAATTACACTTAGTTCTTATTGTGTGGTTTTGTGGCATTTTTATTTAAAAAAAAAAAAAGGGCAACCAAAAACTATTAGAATTTTAAACTGTGTTGAGTAAACCAATGTAACTTACAGTCTTTTGAGAGAAATGACATGGGATGCAGCCTACCAAGTTATGATTTGATTTCAGTGTAATGCAGCCTGAAACATTGTTTGTGTTTTTATCTCTTCTGTAATTTGTTTTTTTTTACTATGTGTTTACTGTTTCCCCAGCTTCCCATCCTCCCCCTAATGTATACCTATTTCATTTAAGTTTGTATTTAAGAGAATTTTCTTCACAAGTATTACTAGTTTCTACTTGGTGGGGGTGGTTGGAAGAGTGTTCTAGTTCATTGGAACACCTTTCAAATATTTAGGTTTTAAGCAGAAATATTATGTGGATTTAGTCTTGCCAGCTTTCCATGGAAATCTTCAGAAGAGTGAATACATTGTTAGAGATTAACATTGCTTTACTGATTTAAAAACCTGAAAGCCTAGGTTATTCTAAACAAGTTCAGTGAGGTTCTTCATTCTAAGTTCTTTTATTTAACATATTTCCTGTATACACAAGTTTTACAGTTTGAGCTTATGGTATTTTAATTGGCAAAATAGGTTGCAGGTGGGCATGCAGCACTCTAGATTGTTTCTGAAATTCAGCAAACGGATTTAACCTCTTTAGCTTGTTTGATATCTGTAAAACTTGTGCATACAAAAGTTATGTCATTTGTTTTGGAAGTGATAAATTCAGCTTCTAAGTATTTCACTTTCCTCAAGTGAAATCTGTTCTCTTCAGCGCTTTTGTTTTCCTTCTGTAGGTTGTTTTTTTATTTTTTTTATTTAATGAACCCAAATACCTTTTTTTATTGATGAATAGACACTGGATCTGTTTATTTCAGCTAAATAGTGGTACAACATTGAGCAACACATCATTCTTTCCTCATGCTAAATTGAGAGCTTGATGGCCAGTTTAAGAGCCTGTTATTTTGTCTTCCTCCAAACAAGTTAAGAAGAATTTCTTTTACTTGTAGGTCTAAATATGCTTACCTGCTTTTTACCAGTGTACCCTTTTAAAACCCCTTTGATAGCTCCCAGTGGAAAGTAGATGACAGCTCTCTTGAAATTGTTTCTCTTTCCAATATAAAAAAAAAAATATTAATCATTCTGAGATGCTCTGGAGCGTTAAACAAGATAGAGAAGGATGTAAAACCTTATTTTTAAACTGAAGAATTTTTTTTTTTTTTTGTATGTTCTGGTAACCTACTCTGAGAGTTTTCTTGTAGATGGAGCACATTAAAGCTCTTACAGAAGAGAAGCAGTTGAAAACTACAGGAGTTGTTGGAGAAAAGGCTAGGTGTTTGAAATTATCGGTGACTGATCTAATTGTTCTGACTCACCTCCCTCCACTCTGAATGAACAGAATGCTTCCTTTGGTTCCAGGAAATACTGAACAAAAGAACTATTTTAATCCATGGACAGTGCCACCACTGTGGCAGAAATCCAGGCAGTGCTTTCATGCTAAATAAATTGGTCTTTTTGCAGCCGCAGGGAAACATGCTCGAGTCAATAAGTTGATGCAAACTTTTGTTCATATGTGAAAGTATGAAGAAAACAAAGTATGCCTGTGTAGGTTTGGGTTTTCTTCATTGGTTATAATAAGGAGCTATTTATAATAATTTTGAAACATAACTTGGGGAGGAGAGGGAAAAATCATTACCTGATACATAGTCCACGTCTTCAGAAGAAAAGAATACTGCCAGAGTTAAATAGTTCACACAGGGTGGCTTGAGAATGGTGTTGGAGAGAGAAAAATGACAGCCTGAGTTTTGTGGCTTATGGACATATTTTAGGTTTTATAACCTACAAATTTTTGTCTGAAGCATACAGGAAGCATACGTAATAGGATGCTTTTTTGAGTAATTGTTAAAGTGCAAGCTGTTTTAGGATTACTTTTTCAGAAAGAACTGAAGTTTGCTTCCTTCTGTAATATGGGAAATGTGTATTTTATATAATTGACAAAAGTTACACAGGTATGGAGACTTTGAGATAAGGGATGGGAATGAACATTGTGAAGCATTACATATTGGAACAGAGAGGGACAGTATAAACTTGTTGAAATGTTATTTCTGTTCCATAATAAAAATAATCTGGCATTTTTTGTTTACAATGGAGCACGTTGTTTTAACAAGAAAAGGAACAACTGTTTTATTATACCTCTGGCTTTCTATTTAGAGTGCTCTGGTTTTTAGCTTTTTTTTTTTCCCTCTTTCTCCTAGATAGTTTATAGTTTTCATTCAGTTACTTTAACTTAAATTGCTCCTCCTTCATCCCCATTCCTAACCCCCCCTCACAAAGAAAATATTTCTGTTAGTGTAGATGAATGCTGAAAAACCCAGATAGAGAACTCCAGGTTGTGGTCTAAAGCCGTATGTCTACAATTAAAGAAAAGAAATTTATGTGGTTTTGGCATGTATTTTGGCATTGATATTGTCATGTATTTTGAATATTGTATTTCTATGCAGAATTTCTTTTTCATTTTTTTTTTTTTTTGGTATTCTATGTATTTATTTGTGCAAGTATGAACTTGGGAAGGCTTACAAGCAGATGCCAGTTGCTACTTTGTGTAGACTGAAAGAGGAGGTTGGAAGTCAAGTATCCTGTTGATTTCTCAAGGAAACACAGAAGTGTAATCACGGTGAATTGTAGTTCATAATGCAATAAGAATGGCATGAGGGCAAGAAGGGATTTGGAGACAAAAGGAGGAGAAGAATTTCCAGCTATAGGTTAGACATACTTATTTTGGCTGTTGGATGCTTTTCTTTACCCTGCCTTTAGTAGGTCTTTAATTAATGACAGTGTCCTGATGTATATGTAGGATTAGATGTTGAAATAATTACTATGTTCCTGGCAGAGTCTGCCAAAGTGTAATTTAATTTATACTTATTTTACACCTGAATGACTGAGCAAATGGATAATCTACCCCTAAATTAATTGTAGTTTAATAGGGTTGGGAAATAGGACTTTAAACCAGTGTCCTTGGTTGAGATTCTGCTTTGAATTTTTTTTTTTTTTTTTATGAGGGGGAAGAAATCTTTAGATTTACATGGGAAAATTCATATGGTAATGTTTTTTCTTTTACAGTTGTTTTTACAATACAGTGGAGTTTGGTTACAGTGGTCTTTGCTTCTTTCAGAAAAAGTACGGAAGTGTTTTGTCCAGTGCTCAGTCTGGTGAAATATCATAATTGATTTCACATGTTTGACAGCTTTAACTTCTTCTGTTTCAGAGCTGTGAAAATTATCTGAAGTAGGATGGAAGCTTCAGTAATATTACCCATTCTGAAGAAAAAATTGGCTTTTCTTTCAGGTATGGTTTCTATTTTCCTCAGTTGGTTCCTCCCTGCATAACTTGGATGGAATTTTTAGGTTGGTTGATTGTATTTGCTGGATGTATTTAACAGATATTGTTATATTGTTGGTTGGCACTTTGTTGTATATCAAAAAATATCTCTGAAACTTTCAGTCTAGTAGCTGAGGTATTGCTGTTCGCATTTAGCATTTGTTTTCACTGTAGCCTGTAACTCAACCCATAGAGTTGATGTCATGAAGTTTCAGTCCGTATTTAAAAGAATGGTGATTTGGCAGGCATCCAAGAATAATCCTTTCTGGTTTTTTTGTTTGTTTTTTTTTAATGTGGTTTTAGAAATGCAGAATGAATATTTTCAGGTTTTTCTTTAGAAAATTTTTCCTTCCCTTTCACCCCAGTCTTTTCTTCAAGATATAAATGGATGCAAGCAGAATTAGCCATGCATTGCAACATTGTGGTTATTGCCGAATAGTTAATTCAGGCAAGGCTGGAATCATCTCTGTATTTATTAAAGCTTGTTGAATCTTGGGTTGAAGAGAAAAACAAAAGGGAATACTTAAAATGATGAATGACATTCTCTTGCTGATTTCACTGCTGTCATGGATAGCTGTGTTAGCTCTTGGTGTTTGATTGTCTACTCCAGGGTAGGTAGACAATTTGCAGAACACTTCTCAACTTCACAAATTGACGAGTGTTGCCATAAACATTCTTGTGGTTCCTATAGCTAGTCCAGTTTAGCCTGCTCCGGTCACTTGAGAACTGAAACTTGTTCTTTTTGTTAACAGAATTTGTTTTGCTTTGAATTTCCCTACTGCCCCTAGGAACTGCTAATTAGGCAGTTCCTAAAAAATGGAGATCCTCCAAAAACTCAACTTACATTAAAGCCTGGGACAGTGGGCAATTTCTCTGAAAAAGTAGCAGATGGTTAGTATGTTGGTTGTTCAACATTATGCTGCAAGGGGAAGTTCTTATTAACTAGAGTGCATTTTCAATTTGCTATTAAAGCTGCCTGATCCATTTTGAAATACAGGTGTTCTTAGTGGAATGTGATTTATTGAGTGGTGGTTTAAATGCTAGGAACCTTTCTGAACCTACATATTTCTAAGTAGGTTTAACCTTTTTGGAATTGAGTAGCATACTAATGGATGCTTTAATTTAATGAATGGTAAAAATTTATGCAGTAGTTCTTTTAAGTATTGTTCAGTGTAAGTTAAGGAACCTGACAGAGAAATCAGTTCACTGTGTCTCTTTAAAGCAATTTTATTCCATAGAGTTTCATAAATAAAAATACATTAATGATTAAAAAAGTCAGAACACTTACATTTTAGGAAAAGTTCTTCAGTGTTTATATATTGAAGTGTCTTAGCAATTTGAGTTAAATTGGTACAAGTAATGTTGGCCCTGCCACCTTTTTCTGGAAGCAAAACAGGATGGTTTCCAATGGGAGTGTCTCCTCAAATTTGGCGTCCATGGTTGTGTAGCTTCCATGTTAATAGGTCATTACAAAGAGCAGGGGAAAAAAAGGCAAGCTACTACTAACTTGTCAAAAAGCCTGAACAACTGCTTTGGTGCCAAATGAATTAAAAAATTTCTTTTTGCAATGCTCTTGTTTAAGTTAAGGGAAGCAACTGTGTTTTCAGTTTATAAACTGTACCACTTCTGAGTTACAACACACATCAAGTTCATTTCCTCTGATTTTATTTTTCATGTTTAATTCTAAACCAAAAGACTCAGATGAGTCTGAGCATAGTGATTTTTTTGTATGATAAGGAGGTGGTGTTTGCCATGCCTGAAATGACAATGTAACTGGGTTTGTCTCACTAGATATTGTATTCTGAAGGTGGTGGGTGAATACAATATTTCCTTTAAAAATACAGTTTTGAGTTAAGTTGTATACTCATCTAAGAATAATTTTATTTTTTAAATAAATGTTGGTCATCATTTTTCACTGAGGAAAAGAATCAGCTATGACTCCTACCTTTCCTCTTGTTCTGCTATGGCAGGTTGAGCTGTTTATACTTCAGTGCAAGGAAGCTGCACAAATATCACAGTGCAGGCAGAATACAGATGTTTGAATCGTTTCTAGTAGTGTTTACAACCTGGGGGAAAAACTGGTCATTTGTTAGAGAAGATGACTTAAGGAACTGAATAATTTAGATAATTGTTGCAGTCTTTCTGTGAAATGTCAAGAGATTATAGTTTTGGCTTTGGCTTATGTGTTTGTTTTTTTTTTTTAATTCGGCAAATAGTGTCTCAATTCAGGTATGAAAGTGAGAATTGCTGTGTGGCTAGTATCTTGCATAAGTGGCCTTCAAGTGTCATTTTTAAACTTTCATTAGTTAGACCCTGTTCAACATTGGAGTCCTTCAGGTCTGTGTAAGCAAAATATGAACTGCTATTAATATTATTGTTATTTTCTTTTGTGGGGCCTGATGTTTGTCTCATGAATCCAGAGCTATCTGAACAGAACTGGTCCCTTCCAGTTATGAGTCGGCTATTGTAAGACTAATTTGCTATAAATACTAGAAGAAAAAGTATTTTTCTGGAAACTATTCCTTCCCCAGCCATGTATATATTAATTAAAATGAACAACTTCAGTGCTCCACTTGTGAGTTCATGGGTAGGGGAGGAGAGAGAAGTGTTAGATACAGTTTTTACAAATATATCATCTAGCAGAGTGCTGAGCTGCTGCGATGGCTCCTGGAATTTTGGACCCTGGAAGTTGGTTCAAGGTGACCTTTCTACAGTTCCTGGTAAAAATACCTTCATAACCTCTTGTGTTCTTACTTTTCAAACTGCAGGCTTGCTCAGTTTGATCACCAAACTCTATCCTATTTTTTATTAAAACTTCTGACAGTGTTTTTGTGCTTCCCTACTACACTCATTTTTATAACGTAAATAATTTTTGAACTTGGCTGTTGCAAATTTTAGTTTCAACGAATTTATTTTCTACATTCTTAAGGCCTGCTACCCTCCCTTCTCAGAGGATTTCCTTATGGATAAGGAAAGACCAAACAATGCCTGAACACTTAAGGAAAGGCTTCTTTATTCATTTTAATGTTAATACTCTTGTTGAGAGATGGTAGCTAACAAGCTGCCATTTAATCAGTGTGACTTCTGAAGCATTTTACAACCACAAACTCGGCATTTTTCTCTTATTTGTTGGATTTAATGTGTGCTCACGAAGCACTGTAGCAAGTAGAGAGAAATATTTTTTTCTTTTTCAGTTCAAGTGTACATTTGAGAACAGACATCCAGTTTTTTAAATCAATAAAGTATTTTCCTTTTTCTTCCACTTACACACTCTGATTTTGAGGTTTTCTGCCACTTGGAAATTAAGAAGGGCAGACAATCTGTAAATAAGTGTTGCTTTAAACTGTGACTCCCTCTTAGTTTGTGTGGAAAGGATCTGTCTTTTCTCATGGAGCACCACACTTTAATTATTCTATTTGGAAATAAAACTCTTAAAAAGTGCATTGATGTTTTTCCAGCAGTAATTCTCCCCCCCCCCCCCCCCCAAGATAAATGAGGGCAGCACAGCTGTGGCAATGAACCACTTAAAACAGTAGGTCCTTTATGAAGATGCGTAAGATAAGTGACAGGGGAGATCTTTAATACTCTTTGGGGAGCTTACACAGCTTTGGAAACAAGGGAAAAACCTACTGTAGTTAAGATGCCAACATATATTGTGTAATCAGTGTTTTTCCATTATCTTGCCTGCATCTCTAACGGATGGGGGGGGATTCTCATCAAATTATGCCAGTGTACATGCATCAGCAAACATTGCTGTGCTTGTTTCCTTCATGTTATTTCTGCGCAGCTGTTACTATTCTGTGAAAAGTTATTACCAAATAGACAAATGTCAGTTCTTCCAATTTTAAGGAACTTTATGAAGCAAAAGCATGATTTAATTTCTTTAACCATATGAATAACACAATTTGAGAATAAAGGTGTTCTTTCTAGGGTTACAGAAATTTACTTTGCTTCTTTTTCACCTTATATAAAGCTGAGAGTTATCTTTGTACAATTTTTCTAACATGTAGAGAAAACTGCCTTCTACATGTGCTTAAATGTATCTTTTGTTTTTAGTATATCTTATTAATAAAATAGCTAATATATTAAAACTTATTCTAAAAAATAATATTGAATAAAATGGAAAAGGCTTTCAGCTACTCCAGGTTGTGGAACACTTACTTTGATGCTGTTTTAATGTACAGATGGGCATTAATTTTAGAAAAATACTCAAGGATTTAAAAAACTACCCCCAGTCTTTTAAGATTACCAAAGTTGTGATTTAATAAGCTGTAAACTAAAGAACTATAGCCTTCTGGAGTATGCTTGGATTCATTAATGTTCTTCACTTGATGCACAAATTCCCCTCTTCACCTCTCATATTTCCCTTCGTGGTTCCCCAACCGAGACACTTGATTGGGTTTTTAAATTAAGATTTCTTTTCTTCTTGCTGGTTAGACATTAAAAAATTCAAGGGCAGAAAGGGAAAAAAAAAAATAGGTAAGGTGGTTCTCTCAAAGTGGAGAATATATGAACTAGATGAGCTGTTCCAAATTCAGTGGATTTAGCTCAAGTTCTAATTTAAGAGATGAGAAAGAACCTAGTTCAAATCCATTTTGATTACTGGTTTATACCTGTGTGACTCAAGAAGTCAGTCTTGACTGGAAACACCAGAAGAAAAAAAAATTCAGCTTTCATAATGATCCATATATTTTTTTTTTTTTTAACTGTACCTTTCCAGAGACTTTCTTGAGAATCTGTGTAGTCAAGAACAACCCAAACCATGGTTGCAGAACAGTCAACTTAAGTGCAGCACATCAGCATCAGCTAATACTTTATCTTACTGGATTTCCTAATGGACGTAAAAATATGAGGCCAGCTCTTTCAAGATTTTTGTTGCTGATATTTCTTGTAAAACTTTTACCAGAAGGGTTTGAAAATACATATGAAGATTAAAGCAACTCGTTGGAAATATTTATCTCCAGTGTAAGGTGACTGTTACGTGTTTTGAAGCAGGTCTGGAAATCTTACGTGTTCGAATGAGCTACCAATTCAGAGTATGTGTCATGGGCAGCCTGTGTAGTACAAGATCCTGCATTTGTGTAGTTGATACTTCTAGGAAGTGTGTTCCAGTGGGAGCTGCTGGGTACATGCTCACTTTGGAAGCTTACTGTTTCTGTCATGCTGGTAATATAGAAGGACTACAAGATGCTTTTTAACAGTTTAATCTAGATATGCAAAAATAATGCTTTTGGAAAACTTGATTTGTGGTGTTCATGTTGAAAGTACTAGATGAAAGACTGTGACAGCTACAGATGTAGTCTGTGCTCTGAAGCCTTGGTAATGCCTTAAACATCAATGTGGTGAATGAATCCTTGGAACTGAGAGGTGCAATATTAGTTTCACAGCAACTTGGAAGTTTACTCTTATGATGTATTTTGAGACTATGTAACTGCAAAGTATTTCTTTTACCTTTAATCCGTCATATTACCTTTCTAATGACTTTTTTTTCCCCCCTGAAATAGGAGGGAAGGACAGAAGAAGTGGCCTCATTCTGACAATTCCATTATGCCTTGAACAGACAAGCATGGATGAGCTGAGTGTCACACTAGACTATCTGCTAAGTATCCCAAGGTGATTTCAAAGGCATTCTGTTCAGGGCTGCCACCTTTTCTGGTGGTGGAAGGGATATTTTTATGGGTTTTTTTTTTTTTCTTCTTACTTTCTCTTCAGTAATGTTTAAAATGTGATACTGTCTGACCGAATTAGAAGCATACATCCTGTTTAACTGGGGGCATCTGCCAAGGTTTGCATATATCCTTTTATATTGTATATTTGACACTTTTTTCTTTTTTTTTTTTTTTGCCTTGTTTATTTCCTCATTCCTTTCTTGGGATGTTTTTAACTTCTTTTTGATGTCAGTGCTCTTAAATTGCTATGTAAATTAATGAGCCATTCTAATGAAATTCCTAAGCTTGCAAAGGTAGCAATGCCCAAAGTAAAAAAAGCTTCTTCTTCTATCTTTACTATTCTGTGTGCCTAATCTTTGTAGATTGTAGTGCATAAGTATGCAGCGAGTCAAAAAACATGTAAAGTCTTACTGAAGTTAGTGAGCAACTCAAATGTTTAAAGTTAAAATACTACTTAAATGTGCTGAATGATGATTTGGGTATCCTCTCATCCAGACCTTGCTGTAAAATCATTGTTAAGTTCTGTGCATGTAACGCTGCAAGTTTATAGTGACAGTTGTTGGTCCTAGCTTAGTTAACCACATTTTCCTAAGATCCAGAGATTGATCTGTCATAGATGTTTGTTTTTTTTTTTTTTTTTTTTTTCCTTGTGCCACTGATTTAAGAAGGCAGGAAGCTTCTTGGATAGGTGATTGCTTTTGTTATCCATTTAAATTCCTCTTCTGGAAACAGAGGAACAATGGCTGAAGACTAATGTACTTTGCTTATTGCAATTTAGTAATGTTCTTAAAACACAATTAAATGTGTGGTATTTTTTTGTTTGGTTTTTTTTTGTAGTTAAGATTTTTAAAAAATTCTGATTGGGGAGAGAGGCAAAGAATAAATTCAGGTTGCTTACACGTAACACATAAGGTATATGAGGATATCGCACAACATCTTAGTTGTGGATATTTTAGGGTTTTTCAAACAGCTTGTTGTCTTTTGTAAAGTGATGAAAATACCAAATGGTCATCTGAGCCAGTCATCTCATTAACTTAAGGCTTTGGCTGTATTTATGGAACAGATGCAGGCATTGTGATTCTAGCAAGTGTCAGTTGTTCTGCTGTCTCAACGTGATATATGTTTTTACATATATTAGTGTAGGAATAACTGTGTGAAAATGCAACCAAAGTTCTTTGTTCTCTATACAAACTGGGAAATCATCTAATGTTCTGTTTGTCAGTCATGAAGAAAAATGACCTTTCTTTTATAGTGGCAGTTTGGAAAAATCATTGCTATTTTTGTTTGCATTTTGTTTTTTTAAGCATGAAATAACAGTTGCATTTCTCAGTATGAAACATAACGCTTACTGTTACATGCAGGTTGCTTTGTTTTTTGTAAGCTCAGAAGATCACAGAAATGGTTTGGTTTTGTAATTGCAGATTTGGGCACTAAAGATTATGAAATGCTGTTCTACCTTATGTAAATTTCAGGGGTTTTGGTTACTTACAACTTTATCAGACACAAATTTTTTTCCTAAGTGTTTTTCTTCTTTCAGTGAGAAGTGTAAAGCTAGAGGATTTACTGTGATAGTGGATGGCAGAAAATCACAGTGGAACGTGGTAAAGACAGTTGTGTTAATGCTACAGGTAAATAAATTTTTTACTGATTAATTTTATAGATGTGAATCCAATAGCTCTGTTATTGTAGATGTAGTAATATCTTTACTGAGAAATAGACAATATATAGCCTCTTAAAATTACAAAATGTGGTTCTATGACAGCTCAGTGCAAAAAGAAACTGTCTGAAATGTGGATGATATGCCTCGCTTAAGTTGAGGGACAAATATATTACATGCTGAGAACATCCAATTGTAGACTCTCTTCTAAAACAGAGTTTTGGTTAAAACACAGAAATATGCTTCTGGCATTATTAATGGTGAGTAGTAGGAATGTCTTCAGGGCAGCAACTTCACACTGGTAGTGCAGCTGAGCAGGTTCTGGTGCAATCACAGTATCACAGTATGCTAGAGATTGGAAGGGACCTTGAAAGATCATCTAGTCCAATCCCCCTGCCGGAGCAGGAACACCTAGATAATGTTACACAGGAATGTGTCCAGGTGGGTTTTGAATGTCTCCAGGGAAGGAGACTCCACGACCTCCCTGGGCAGCCTGTTCCAGTGTTCCGTCACCCTCACTGAGAAGAAGTTTCTTCTCAAGTTAAGTGTGGAACCTCTTGTGTTCCAATTTGTACCCATTACCCCTTGTCCTATCATTGTTTGCCACTGAGTAGAGCCTGGCTCCATCCTCGTGACACTCCCCCTTTATATATTTATAGACACTAATAAGGTCACTCCTCAGTCTCCTCTTCTCCAAACTATAGAGACCCAGCTCCCTCAGTCTTTCCTCATAAGGGAGATGCTCCACTCCCTTAATCATCTTCGTTGCCCTGCGCTGGACTCTCTCCAGCAGGTCCCTGTCCTTCTTGAACTGAGGGGCCCAGAACTGGACACAATATTCCAGATGGGGTCTCACCAGGGCAGAGTAGAGGGGAAGGAGGACCTCTCTTGACCTACTAACCACCCCCCTTCTAATACACCCCAGGATGCCATGGGCCTTCTTGACCACAAGGGCACAGTGTTGGCTCATGGTCATCCTGTTGTCCACTAGGACCCCCAGGTCCCTCTCCCCTACACTGATCTCTAACAGGTCATTTCCCAACCTATACTGGAACCTGGGGTTGTTCCTGCCCAGATGCAGGACTCTACACTTTCCCTTGTTATATTTCATCAAGTTATTGCCTGCCCAACTCTCCAGCCTGTCCAGGTCTCGCTGGATGGCAGCACAGCCTTCTGGCATGTCAGCCACTCCTCCCAGCTTAGTGTCATCAGCAAACTTGCTGATAGTACACTCAATTCCCTCATCTAAATCGTTGATGAATATATTAAATAATACCGGTCCCAGTACTGACCCTTGAGGCATTCCACTAGTTACAGGCCTCCAACTAGACTCCGCCCCATAGACTACAACTCTCTGGCTTCTCTCCTTCAGCCAGTTCGCAGTCCACCTCACTACCTGATCATCCAGTCCACACTTCCTCAATTTAGCTGTGAGGATGCTGTGGGAGACTGTGTCAAATGCTTTGCTGAAGTCAAGGTAGACCACATCCACCGCTCTGCCATTATCCATCCACCGTGTTATTTCCTCATAAAAGGCTAAGAGATTGGTCAAACATGATTTCCCCCTGGTGAAGCCATGTTGACTGCCCCTCATAACCCTCTTATCCTTGATGTGCCTTAAGATGGCACCAAGGATAAGGTGCTCCATCACTTTCCCAGGGATGGAGGTGAGGCTGACCGGTCTATAGTTACCCGGGTCCTCCTTCTTGCCCTTTTTGAAGACTGGGGTGACATTTGCTTTCCTCCAGTCCTCTGGCACCTCTCCCGTTTCCCAAGACTTGGTAAAGATGATGGAGAGCGGTCTAGCAATGACTTCCGCCAGTTCCCTCAGCACCCGCGGGTGCATCCCATCTGGACCCATGGATTTATGGATGTCCAGATTGCTCAACTGATCTCTAACCCATTCCTCATCGACTAAGGCAAACCGCTCCGTCGACCTGACTTCATCTAAGGCCTCAGGGGTACAGGGCTCTTCAGGACTGCCTGCAGCAGAGTAGACAGAGAAAGAAGGCATTCAGTAACTCTGCCATCTCTGCATCTTCTGTCACCAGGGCACCCATCCCGTTCATCAGTGGGCCTACATTGCCTCTGGTGTTAGTTTTATCTGCCATGTATTTGAAAAAGCTCTTTTTGCTGGATGCTAAACAAAATAGAAGAAGGGGGGGAAAGTTCCAATTCCCAATTAAAGAAATTTACAACAATTTATTATTTTAGCTTTTCAGAATGGTAGGGTTACAGTAAAGTCTGCTAAACAGTATTGTTTATTTTCTGGTCTCAGTGGTAAAAGACAATGCATGATACAGCGCTTTGAAGAGAGAACTTTGACTACTGCCTTGCTTTCTGCTCAGATAATTTCTTTCTACTAGAGCAGTTTTCCTCTCAAAATTAAATGAAGCCTCAAAGTATGTAAAATTTGAATTATTTCATTTTATTGTCATTCTGGCTTATTGTTGCTCCTGGGTTTTTAAGTCTGTTTCAGGGTGTCTTTCACCTATTCTTCACTAAGATGTCATTCCTATTAGTAGAGTAATTGGATCCACTATATTCTGATTACGATCTCAACTGAGCTTTCACTTCAGCTAATGTGCAGTTGTGGCATTTAGTGGGAACTTCAGCTAGTGGTGAAGGTAGTTTGCCCATGCTCAGATTTTACTGCTTCCTGTTAGCACAGTTCCTGCCAGTGTGAAGCCTGCAGAAATATAGGTTGCACATCTGTATCTAATTTGAGAAGGAAGTAATGAAGATTTTCTGATGTAAACTAATCACTAGTGCACACCACTTGAGATTACTCTCTGCTTGGGCACAGATAGGTGCTGGTTGGTCATCAGGCAGTTGTATGTTAAATATTTTGTCTACTTTTAAATAGAATCATAAAATAGTTAGGGTTGGAAAAGACCTTAAGATCATCTAGTTCCAACCCCCTTGCAGGGACACATCACACTAAACCATGTCACCTTGAACGCTGCCAGGGGTGGCGTTGGGCAACCCATTCCAGTGCCTCACCACCCTAACAGTAAAAAACTTCCTCCTAGATCCAATCTGAACTTTCCCTGTTTAAGTTTTAACCCGTTACCCCTTGTCCTGTCACTACAGTCTCTAGTGAACAGTCCCTCCCCAGCATCCCTATAGGCCCCCTTCAGATACTGGAAGGCTGCTATGAGGTCTCCATGCAGCCTTCTCTTCTCCAGGCTGAACAGCTCCAACTTTCTCAGCCTGTCTTCATACAGGAAGTGCTCCAGTTCCCTGATCATCCTCATGGCCCTCCTCTGGACTTGTTCCAACAGTTCCGTGTTCTTTTTATGTTGAGGACACCAGAACTGCACACAATACTCCAGGTGAGGTCTCACTAGAGCAGAGTAGAGGGGCAGGATCACCTCCTTCAACCTGCTGGTCACGCTCCTTTTAATGCAGCCCAGGATACGGTTGGCTTTCTGGGCTGCAAGCGCATGCTGCCTGCTCATGTTCACTTTCTCATTGACCAGCCCCCCCAAGTCCTTCTCTGCAGGGCTGCTCTGAATCTCTTCTCTGCCCAACCTGTAGCTGTGCCTGGGATTGCTCTGACCCATGTGTAGGATCCTGCACTTGGCATGGTTAAACTTCATAAGGTTCGCATCAGCCCACCTCACAAGTGTGTCAAGGTCCCTCTGGATGGCATTCCTTCCCTCCAGCGTATCAACCGAACCACACAGCTTGGTGTCATCGGCAAACTTGCTGAGGTCGCAGTCAATCCCACTGTCCGTATCAGCGACGAAGATGTTAAACAAGACCGGTCCCAACACTGATCCCTGAGGGACACCACTTGTTACTGGTCTCCACCCAGACATTGAGCCATTGACCACAGCTCATTGTGTGTGGCCATCCAGCCAGTTCTTTATCCACCGAGTGGTCCATCCATCAAATTGATGTCTCTCCAATTTAGAGACAAGGATGTCGTGTGGCAAAAAGTTTTTGTATATTCATTAAAATGGCATAAGAATGAAATATCTTCTTTTTTTTAAACGCTGTGATTTCTGACTTAGGTAAACTTAACTTTTTGAGAATTATATTTTTTTAAATAAGGCATTAAAGAGAAATCCCATGGACTGTGTCACTTTTATGTCAGTATTGTAATTACTGTTGCTTATTGCTATAGCTGGTGATTTGACTAATCAAGAGTCTCTATTCCTTCATCTGCATTCAGTGTGCCAGCATAAAATCAACCTGGTAGATTAAATTATTGTTTTAGGCAGAGGATTGTTTTCTTTGTAATAGTCCTATGAACTAATATTACACCCTTTCTTTCTAGTGTAAGCAGTACATACTAGAGAATTATAGGATATAATCTTGTCATGTGATTTAATGACAAAGTGTGCAATTTTTTTCTAACTTCGTAGTTACCGTTTTATTCTACATAGCAAATTACATAGGTAGGAAGCTTTGTTATCCTTCATATTTTTTCTTTTGAGGAAAATGCCATAAATTAAGTCTAGCCAATAACTCATGTGTTTTTTTTACTGATGTAGCACAGAGTAATGCTTAAACCTCAGAAACTGAGAGTAAAGAGATTAGATTTTCTGTCATTTTTAACACAATTTTGCCATGAAATTTAGTGCAGTCTTCCTCAAAGTGGTATGGAGGTGGCATGCAAGGCAGGTGCAGCAGACTTAACAGACAGAAACTAAACTAAGTTCTTGAATGAATGATGGCATATAAGTGGAATTCAGCTTTGTGGTAATTGAAGGTTTAATCTTGAATGGTTTACTTTTTTCATTTGTTTTACAGAACGTTGTTCCAGCTGAGGTGTCACTTGTTTGTGTAGTAAAGCCAGATGAATTCTGGGATAAGAAGGTTACACATTTCTGTTTTTGGAAAGAAAAAGATAGACTTGGCTTTGAGGTATGTAGAACTTCTGTTTCAGTCAGATATACCATTTGTGGAATACTGGATTAATTGCATGAAAATTAATGTCTCTCTTGAAAGTAGTTATATTCCAGGTGCTTTGTAGATATCCTTAACAAACCACTGTGGCATTTTAACTTTTTTCCTTCTTCAATAAGAGTATTAAATGAAGTAGCTCTCAAATTAGAGAAGTGTAGCATTTTTCTTTGCTCGGCAAGAGGAAAAAGCTTTTTGATGTATATTATATATGTTTTGAGTAAGAAGCCTTTGCATAGGCTTTAGCATGAGTATTTTTCATGACTCTTCTGGGATGACTGTAGAGTTGCATGTGGTATGGGGTTGATAAATCAGTAGTAACCATTTTGAAGAACATCTTGTTGTTGCGTGCGTCTGTTCTCTTTTTTAGTTTGTTGACGTTAGTAACAGTGGTTATAGGTCACTTCAGTTTGCCAAATAGCTGATACTGTTCTTAGCTCGTGAGGCAGATTGTGTACAAGAGATTACACTCTAATGTTAGCAGTTCCGTTCTTGTATCTTCTGGGGAGGTTAATTGAAACCTCTTTTTTTTATTTTTACTTTTTTCTCTGTTTTCAGGAAATTCAGTATCATCAATCCTTCCAATAATTTTTGAAGCTTATCTATAATTTGACCTACAGCAAGCCCGCTGTGCTCATCAAATACTAAAATGTCGACGTATTTTGTACAACAGAGCTCTTAAAAAGAGATTGAATAGAAAAGCATTTTGCAGCCTTGTCCGATGCTGTGTAATTCTTTCTGATGTTGACATTATAAAATTCTTGCATACTCCTGTAGAAAATCTAGGGAAAATGAGAATTGGAAGGTGGTAGCTGAAAGGTTATGCAACTGCTAAGTAAAATAAACCTAAAACCATCTAGACATAATGCTGTTAATTCATATGAATTTTGTCTTAAGTCCGTATCAGATTTTACCTAGAATAGGTGGTTTCATTTCTGGAAACAGTTCCTGCATGTGGAAGTGCTCTGAAGAAGTGTGGCGGTAAAGGGTAATATTCCTATTTTCAATCAAATGATGAAACCTTTTTATGTTGGTTTTTGGGTTTTTGTTCTGTTTCTTTTTTCTTTAAGATTCCTTTTATTACATCTTTTTTTTGTAATTTGCTTTAGAGCCCTGTAAGTAAGGATATCCTGCACATTTGCCTTCAGGTTATCTTGCAGATGAATATCATATTTTCTTTTTGAGTAGTTCTTAAAATTCCGACTTGAAAGTAGCCCAAGTTCAGCATAGCAATCCAGAGAATCTCTGAACAGCCAATTGTGTATTTGAAAGTCTGCAGCCAGCAAGATATTCACTAATAAAGGTACTGAAGTGCCTGAAAGTTTGCTACTGTTGGTTCCAACTGTGATAATCTTATGACTTGCATTGCAGTTTAAAGTCGCTTGGGTTTCACAGATGTTTTTCTGTCCCTTCACCTGAATCCCTCGAGGAGACTGGCAAGGCCGTATGGTTAAATTATCTTTCATTTTGAAGTTCAGCATGTAGCAGCTTAGTCATAGCTTCTTTAATGAAAAAACATGAGTGTGGTGGTGTCCACCTTTTATAAACTAGCCTATTGTTTATCTTATCTCCAAGATGAGAATTAAAGACTGACCAACCATTTGTACTCAAAAGGGTGATTTAAGAGCTTGTGTTTAGAAAGTGACTTAAGTTTGCTGAATTCAGTTTTACACAGACATTTTCCGGACATAAGATAAACACTAAAACCCAGAAAGGGGCAGTAATAAAGGTAAATCCTCATCCTTAGCATTCCCTAATCTGATTTAGGCTCTCTTTTCCCATCTGCACACCCATAAATACAGTCCTTGAACAAGTTCAGGAAGCCTTTAAATTTTATGCAGTGGTTGTTGCTGTATACATCATGTTATTGCGAGGTTGGAAATTAGTCCTCTAGAAGATTCTTCTTGGATTTTTCTTTAGTATGACTCAGCTAGAATCTATTTCTAGACAAATAAGCAGGAACCCTACAGAAAATCTGTTAACAAAGCAGAGATAGTTTTACATGGCTGTGATAACAGAAGGATACTTTTGTTTGACTTTACGGATTGGCTAACAGACATTAAATGATAATACTGTAATGAAATTTAGTAAGCTTAGTAATTTTATGAATCATGTTCTGTGCCAATGATGATGTTGGCGTTCTTGGCATAGAACATAGGAGTTGTGTAACTCAACATTTTGGTTTCTGTTTCTGAACTAGTTTTTTTTGTTACTGAACCATAAACATTTCTCTCTGACCCAAAATTTTAACCTAAGATTCTCTTAAATTTATAGTTCTGAAGTTTTAGGAGTAAGAAAATAATGCAAGTATTAGAGATACATTTCATGTAAACATATATCAAAATGTGTCAGTTGTAAGAGAAATAGTGAGATATTATTTCACAAGAAAAATAATCGTAGCACTAAAACATGGCAGCTGCTTCCTAAGCAGGAGGAAAACTTCAGATTTGTTCTCTGTATCTTGGCTTGATGCATGGGCAGATGCAGTTTTTGTGAGTAGAGGATAACAGCTAGTAGCTGAATTTTCATCATGGAATCATAGAATAAACTAGGTTGGACAAGACCTTTAAGATCATCAAGTCCAGCCATTACCCCAGCACTGCCAAGGCCACCACTAAACTGTTATCACTGAGGGCCCTCTTCTATGCAGTTTTTGAACACTTCCAGGAATGATGATTCCACCTCTCTCCTGGGAAGCCTGTTCCAATACCTGGTCACCCTCTCTGTGAAGAAATCTTTCCTAATACCCCATCTAAACCTCCCCAGTGCAGCTTGAGGCTCTTGCCTCTTGTCCTGTCTCTTGTTGCTTGGGAGAAGAGACTGACCCCCACCTCAATGCAACCTCCTTTCAGGTAGTTGTAGAGAACAGGTCCCCCTGAGCCTTCTCTTCTCCAGACTAAACAACCCCAGTTCCTGAGCCATTCCTCATCAGAATTATTCTCCAGACACTTCAGCAGCTTTGTTGCTCTTTCCTGGACCCATTCCAGTGAATGGCCCAGAACTGAGCACAGAATTCAAGGTGTGGCCATGTCAGTGCCCAGTACAGGGGGATGATCGCTACCCTGGCCCTGCTGCCACACTATTGCTGATAACAGGCCAGGATGCTGTTGGCCTTATTGGCTGCCTGGGCGCAAGCTGGTTCATGTTCAGCTCCGTCAGTCAGCACCCCCAGGTCCTTTTCCACTGAGCAGCTTTCCAGCTAGTCTTCCCCAAGCCTGTAGTGTTGCATGGGGTTGTTACGGCACAAGTGCAGGACTCCGGACTTGGCCTTGTTGAACCTCATGCCAGTGCTCGCAGCGCATCCTTCCATCCTGTCTAGATCCCTCTCTGTAGAGGTTTCCTATCCTTCAGCTGATCAACACTCCCAGCCAGCTTAGTACAGAGTTACTACAGATGTTTCTAAAGAGACTGCGTGATACCACCCTAGTGCTTCCTAGTATCTTGCACTTTCTTGGAGGTTGTTTTTTTTTTTTCTTGTGTGTGTGTTGTTTTTTTTTTAAATGTGCAATAACTCATATTCTTAAATGGTATTCTTCATTAAAGGACAGGGAAAGCTGAGAGGACAGTAGCAAAAATCTTGTGCTTTCCTAGATAATGAAGAATCACCCTTGTCATTAGGCAAGCCTGTGTTCTTGACCATTCATTAACTCTTAGTTATCTATTACTTGGTTGTGATTAGGAAAACTGGCTTAATAAAAATGACCCAACTTCTCTGCACTCCAAATAATATTTGAGACAGTAGTTTATCTTTGTTCTATTCCTGATATGAGGGCAGGGCACTGATAAGGCTATAGAAACCTCTAACTCATGCACTCATCTGCAGCTGCATAACTGTAGGTTACTGGCAGTAAAAAGAAAGCAACTCCTAACTTGTGTTTTGGATCGTTGGTTACATTTGCACAACTATTAGGGAAAATCCAAGATTGCTTTCACATCAACAAAATAAATACAGTCTTAAAATTTAAATCAAAATATGAAATATTTTGATTCACTTGAGAGTGTAATTTTATACATTTGAAGTAAATGTTGTATACCTGTAATTTCTAGTGGGGCATCACATCTACCTCCTATTTCCTGCTACCTGATCTACTTTTAATACCTTGCTTACTATTGCCAGGTGAATCCATTAGGCGCAATGCCTTCCTTTCTGTTCAAAGGCAGAGATCCTCTGCTTCAGAGTGAGATGTGGTGATGATGAGTTGCAAAGCAATGAAAGTAAATGTGGGAACAGAGATCAAAAGGCTACTGGGCGGATAAGTATAAAGAGGTGGGCTGATTCAGCTGGGTAAAAGTGCATATCCTTATTCCTGGTTAGTATTAGTGTTGGTTTTGGACGTGCCTCAGGTCAGTTCCCATTCATCCTCCAGCAGAGCTTTCTTCTGTCCCTTTATTCCTCCCTAAAATGCTTATTAGCAACCAGTTCATGTGTTCATTGAAGCTGTTTTTTCTGGTCCTGTGCCCATGCTTCATAACAGGAGAGCTGTCTTAACTGTTCCAAGGGTGTCTTTCCACTGAAATCTTGTGTATGTTACATTGTAATACTTAATACTGTTAATGTTTTTAAATGAATGAAGAACAGGGTTTAAATATAGAAATTTCTTATTCTGTTATGAAGGGCTGGGAGGCATTGCTTTTTGCTTCTTAATTAATATACTGTACATAGTGATGTGTGTAGTGTGTTGTATTTGATGGCGAGATTTGCATATGAAGATAAGTAGGATAACTGGAAGAAAATGTGTACCATAAAAGCATAAGAAATGTGCAAGTTTGTACAAAATGTAATATTGCCCACAGACTGACTTTTCTTTTTGTCAAAAACAAAAAAAAAAGGTGGTAAACTAGTGTGAATTAGTTGGAAAAATCAGAATATATAGCAGAAGGATCGTGATAGTCCTAAAGTGCAAAGTCTGAGTAGTTCTAAATGCTGTATGCTTGCACTGTAGCAGCTAACAACTCTTAAG